AAAACAATTCCATTTTAGGATGGGGCAGAAGGAGTTCCAGAGTCACTGAGAACTTGTTTAGGGTCTCACAATGAGTCCCGGGTGGAAGTCAGGTTCTTGTTCCCTTGGTCTTGACTCCATTCTCTGAGGCAGCTTGTCACCGAGTCAGTGCTGGGGTGCCCGTTCCCAGGAGAACGCTGTCTGGACTTGAAGAAAAGTGATGTCAGGGGGTCCCTGGATTCCCTTAGGATGTGGATGCGGCTTACATGAGCAAGGTGGAGCTGCAGGCCAAGGTGGACGCCCTGGATGGAGAGATCAAGTTCTTCAAGTGTCTGTATGAAGGGGTAAGGCTCCCCCATCCCACCCCCAACTCTGTCTTCTAGAAGGACAGACGTACATGAGTAGTTATTTACTCATCAGTAACTTTAAGAGCCCAGGTCTCTAGTATTGGATGCTGGGAACTTGGTAGATCCAAGGCAAGAGTGAAATATACCCTCGTACTTCCAAATGATGTGTGCCATCAGCCCCAGGCTACCTCCAGTGGCCTGCTCTCACATCCTCCAGGAAGTCGGGGTGACAGAGATAAAACAGGCAAAAATGAGAATGTGCTCCGCTGAAGATCACGTGCCATCACTCTCCTACTTCTCAAAGCGTGCCACTGTCCCTGCCTCCACTGATCTTCCTGTCACTTGGGGCATTTCCTCAGGTCTTGGTCAGAAATCCTTAGGGATGGAGGTGGGGAGGCCTCAAAACCTTTCTACTGACTCTATGACAATCTGGCTTCAAGCCTCAGCCTGTTGGCCAAGCATCTGTGGGCTGTGGTGTCCTTAGTGTCTCTTGTGTGGTGTCCAGCTTGTTTCCTCTCCACCTTTTCTACTTCTAACCAGTTCAGGTGACAGACATGTGGGCTGTTTTCTACTTGGGCTGCTTCAAACCCACTCAGCAGTTTCTAGGTGTGGTGTTGGAACCTCTGGGCTGGTGAGGTCCATTTTTATACGTTTTGGAGAATGCAGCTGCATCTGTTTTTGGAGGGTTTGGGGGCTCCCCTGCTGGGATAGGGCCATCACCTTGGCACTTTCCTCTGCTCACAAAAGACATTTCATGCCTCCTTGTTTCCCATGCAGGAAATTGCTCAGATCCAATCCCACATCAGTGACACATCTGTCATCCTATCCATGGACAACAACCGGAACCTGGACCTAGACAGCATCATCAATGAGGTCCGTGCCCAGTATGAGGAGATCGCCCTGAAGAGCAAGGCTGAGGCTGAGGCCCTGTACCAGACCAAGGTGAGGCTGCACACCTTCCAGAGTCAAGGGTTCTAAGACCTCTGGTCCAGTCCCATGACCCACCATGGCCCACACACTAGTTGGGATCAAGACACTCTCCCTGACACTGGTGGAAGCCCAAAGGGAGGGGAAGACGAAGCTCTGCCCTTAGGATCTACTTAGAACATGACAGCCATGGGAGAACACACACAGCTGAGTGCAAACAAATGTGGCACAGAGTCATGAATGCAGGGGAGACAGAGGTTAGGGAACTAGAATCAGATGGGGCAAGTCAGGAACAACTTCTGCAGGCAGAGTTTTGAACTGCGTCTGGGAAGGAAGAAAACATGGGCAGTTAGCATCTCAAATCCCTTGTTAATTATAATAAATTAGGGGGTCTCTTTAGTGTGATCTGAGATTAGGTAACTCCTACCTTTTCATTCAATTCCAAGTCCAAGAATAAAGGGGGTGCTTGAGTCCCTTAGATCTTAACTCCTCTAATTGGTTGTGGGTGGGAAGATAATTCTTTAGATAATGTGGTTTCTCAGATCTAAATGGCAATTTCCTAATTGCTCCTTGCTATTTATCAGGCTCCTTCTCAAGGGAAATCCGCACTCTCTTTATCTTGTTTATCCCTCCTCCCACCCACTCCTTGCTACCCTGGGGACAGAAAGATTTGGCCTGCAGGGGTGGGAGGAAGGGAGGCTTTCAAAGACTGGTAGACACCACAGTCCAGGGCTTCTTGATAAAGGTTCCAACTCAGGTCCCCAGGCCCCAAATCCCTCTACTTCTCTGTTGCAAGCTAGGGTCAGGGGTGGCTGTGTGGTTTAATCACTCAGGAGACTGCATGGGTCAGAACTGGGGGAGTCAGTGCCTCTCTCCCAGCCAGAGCGTGGGAGGTTGTGCTCACATAGCCTTGCAGAGAAGCAAGAGAAGGCCACCTGTTCTGCCATAGTGTTTTTTTGTCCAAAGATTATCCCCAAAAATAAAACACAGGATCATAGAGAGAAGACCCTTGCCTTCCAGAGTCTCAGAAGAGGAATCCTGAATCTAGGGCCATGCTGGGGCCAGATATGAGAGAACTGGCAAGGCCAAGCACCCAGGGACAGAAACAAGCAATGCATAGACACTAGAGGTCTGAATGTCATATGTTTTTGTGTTTCCCTTCAGCCAAATTATGGGGTAGAAATGGAATACCCTCTGTTGACTATCCAATCGATGACATCAAATCCAGGAATAATCCCCAAAGAGTAGATGATCCAAAATTCATGACTAGTGTTAGATACAGTCATTCTATCCCCTCCACTCATATACAAAATGTTCCTCCATGCCCAGCAAGATTGCCAGTAGCTTGGGGCCCAGCTGAACTGTGAAGGGAAGGAAGTCACAGGAAATATAGATGGGCAGCTCTTTAGCTCCCTCTTTGGTTCATTTACTCATTCATTCTTCCATCCATCAGACCTCTTTGAACACTAGCTAGGCTCTGTGCTAGGTACTAGGAATTCAGAAATAAATAATTTAAAAACAGGTGCCTGCCCTCTAGTCATTCTGAGTCTGATGGTAAAGATTTAGAAACTTGTGATCACAGTACTGTGTGGTAAGAGCTATGGACTGGTGTGGCAGGGACTATGGTGCACCCAACTAGGGATCAGGGAAGGCATCTGGGGGAAGTGATTCTGTGCTGACTGAGTTGGAGCCAGCTAGGGAACAAGAGAGAATGGATAGGAAAGGGTTTTCCAGGTGGAGGGAGAAGTTCATGCAAAGACTTAGAGCAGGGGTGGGCAAACTTTTTGACTCGAGGGCCACAATGGGTTCTTAAACTGGACCGGAGGGCCGGAACAAAAGCATGGATAGAGTGTTTGTGTGAACTAATATAAATTCAAAGTAAACATCATTACATAAAAGGGTACGGTCTTTTTTTTTTTTTAGTTTTATTCATTTCAAACGGGCCGGATCCGGCCCGTGGGCCGTAGTTTGCCCACGGCTGACTTAGAGACTTGAGAGTATGTGGCATATTGAGGGAACATGGAACTATTTGGCACATGTGGAAAGCTAGGTAGGTGATGGGCAGAGGCTGTGAGAAATGAGTATGGAGAAGCTGGTGGATGCCAGATCTCAAAGCACCTTGATGCCATACTAGGAGTTTGAATATGACCTTGACTTTGAAGGGCTGTAGGCAGAAGAGTACCATAATTGGAGTTGTGTGTTATAAAATTTCAGTGTGGAGAGTATGAGACTTCCAACAGTCCTTTTGGCCAAATCTAACCATCAGTGAGAGCAACTGTGCTTAAGGAAAATAAATAAATCCAATTATTGAGTGGGAGGCTGATAGGCCTGGTGAAATTGGAGACCCCTACCCATTCCTGAGTCAAAATCCCTGCTTTGGCCCATCTCCCCCTAGTTCCAGGAGCTTCAGCTGGCGGCTGGTCGGCATGGGGATGACCTCAAACACACCAAGAACGAGATCTCAGAGCTGACCCGGCTTATCCAAAGGCTGCGCTCGGAGATCGAGAGTGTGAAGAAGCAGGTGAAGGGGCCTTAGGGGCTCTCGGCTCACTCCCAAGGGAGGGGTGGACTGCCCATCACATACACTCCCCCTTGCTTCCTCTCCTTCTCTTGGTTCTCCATCTTAGGACCCCACTCCTCAAATAGAACCCCTGTTCTCAACCCCCACACTTAGCTCCCAAATGAAGTCTGGGAACAATTGGAAGCATCTTTTCAGAAAGCTAAGTGTCTGAGGATACCACCTCTCACAGTCCCAGGTTGACAAGCCCCAACACCATGGGGGTGCAGCTTTGCTCTAGGATGTGGGCAAGGACAGAGGAGGGTCCAACCACTGTGAACAGATCGGGGGGGGGGCGTGAAGTGAGGCTCAGGGTGCCTTAGAACTCAGGGGGATGCTACCTCCTGGCCCTCAGTGCTCCAACCTGGAGACAGCCATCGCTGATGCCGAGCAGCGGGGTGACTGTGCCCTGAAGGATGCCCAGGTCAAACTGGATGAGCTGGAGGCTGCCCTGCACCAGGCCAAGGAGGAGCTGGCCCGCATGCTGAGGGAGTACCAGGAGCTGATGAGCACAAAGCTGGCCTTGGACATAGAGATCGCCACCTACCGCAAGCTGCTGGAGGGCGAGGAGTGCAGGTGGGTGATGGGAGGGATCTTAGAGTGTTAGAGGGGGAAGAACTTTTGTAATCCTCTGACTCAGTTTCCCAGAGTGTGGGGTCAGGCTGATGGAGTGGCTGGAGATGCTTTTCAGGTTACCCACATAGCCTTAAATAGCACAGGATCCGATGAGACAGAGATTTCCTTTACAGTTCTTCTCGTTCTAGTCTTCGGACTGGAGAAAATCTCTGGATGGTGCTATTACATCTCTGCCACTGCCGTGCCACTTGTAAATACCCCTATTAATAAAGAGAATAGACCCAGGTTCAGTCTCTGGGCAGACAACACACCTAGCCACAAAAATTTTTTTAAATTGTTTAATTTTTATTATTTTGATTTTATTGCTACTGCTTTGTTCTTGTTTGGTCAGGTAGTAGGTACTGATTGTCTATTTATCCTGGTGATATAATACTTCCTTTTAAGAGAAATGCATTTTTGTATAAAAAGCAGAGTCAGTGAAAATACTAGCTATATAACAGTATGAGTTGTACATGGTCAGAGCAACACTTGGGAGGGTGGTACCAGAAGCACTGACATTTGAAAAACCCTGTTCTACCTCAGCACCATTTTACACAAAAGACTCAGAGAAGACAGGTTACTGGTCCTAAAATCATACAGTTAGTCCACCAGTGGCAAATCCTGATGCTATTTCCACATGTACTTATCCAGGCCGTAGCCTCTCAGGAATGAAAAAGTGGATTAAGGAGAAATTTGGCAGGAGGGTCCCTGGAGCTAGTGTTGCTACTGGGGGCTCCAAGGCTGCAAGTTCATAGTCTCTGAAGTGGGGAGAGTAGACTGAGGAAGGAGAGGGAGGTGCTTAGAGATATGCAGGTGCAATGTGCGCCTGGACATGAGCTAGTCTGGCCGAGGCTTTCAGGCTGTGGTGAGGGTAGCACGGATTCCATGTGAGGGAATCTCCTGTGCTTTTCTTCCCGTGCAGGATGTCTGGAGAATACACCAACTCTGTGAGCATCTGTGAGTATTTCATGACTGTGGGGGAATGCTTTTAGTTCATTAACAAGCACAAACTAAGTAGGTGCCTGTGACCGGGATCCCCATGGAACAGCCCGAGCTCCACTGTCATAATCACCTCCCAGCGGAGACCTGCTGCTTCTGTTCCCATCACTTCCTGACCTTTCACATTGGCCCCTGACCCCTCCCCCACCCTGAAATCTCTCCCATGCTGGGATGAAACTCTCAGCATTTGCACATGATGGAAGCCTGGAAGCCTGGAAGCCTGGAAGCCGGGGGCAGGAAGAATCACACCTACTCACTGAGAGTGGAGATCAGGCATAGACACACTGTGCACACCAGCTCTAATGCTGGCCCTACAGGCTTCAGCTCCTTCTCCTTCTAAGACAGGCCAGCAAAACTCCCCTATATGAACCAATCAAGATATTCTTTGAAAAAAATAAGACTGGATTCTAAAGTTAGATGTAAGACTTGCTTGGGCATCATCTGTCCTTCAGGGGAAGTCCTTGCTATTTCTGTTTGTTCAGAGGAGAAGTTTCCTGATTTGGGGGTACTATGGGATCTGGGCTGCTTCTCCTGGTGCTTGAGCTGCTCAGGAATTGAGTGTGTGTCACTCAACTCAAGTCCACAGTTGATGTGAAGTATTTGCTTAAAGAGGAGACTGGGACTGTTAGTTGGGACTGGGAAGTTGGAGGGGACTCAGGGCCACTCCTGCCCTGGGACACACACTTATCACTTGTCCCTCCATCCTCCTCAGCAGTCATCAGCAGCTCCACGGCCGGGACTGCGGGCACAGGAGCCGGCTTCGGGTTCAGCGGGACGGGCACCTATGGCTACCGACCCAGCTCAGTTGGCTACAGCATGCTGTCTGGAGGCTGTGTCACTGGCAGTGGAAACTGCAGCCCTCGAGGGGAGGCCAAAACCAGGCTGGGGAGTGCAAGTGAATTCAAGGATCCCTCTGGGAAGACCTCAGCTCTGAGTTCACCCACTAAGAAAACCACAAGATAAAGAGAAAGACAGTTGTCCCCCTTGCCCTGGTTTCCTCTGGACTCCCTTCTCCAGGAAACTCCTCTGTCACATTCCTCTTTGTTTCCTTTGCCACTGACATCTCCTCTCTTCCATTTCTCTGCCTTAGTCTTTCTTAATGTAGAATCGGGATTCTAGAATCTAGCCCATTCTCTGCCTCTGTACCAAGAGACCTCTTAACTGGGCCTTCCCTTCCTGAATCCTTCTCCTTGCAGTGGAAGGATTTTTTCTCAAAGGTAACCCCCATCCTCATACTGCCCCTTCCATGCCCTGGTTTAGGGAGTTATTTGGCCATGTGCTCCATGGGTACATGTGATTGAAGGCCCACTGAGAGACCTGTCTCCTGTGAGAGCAACTCCAGCTCAGGGGAAACATCTGGTTATACATTGTACCTTGCATGGTCCCTGCAGATTTTATAGCTGGGAGTACCCCTGCAGGCTTCTCCCATCAAGGAAGGCATTTGTGCTGTTAATATGTGAGCTCTTGTCCTTGTTCAGACCTCGCCTCCATGTTTCCCGTGTCTCACCAATAAACTTATAAAACTCATGCAGGAACAGGATGCTTCTCTCTCCTAAGGGAATCCTCATCTCAGGCCTCATGGAGGTCAATGACCTGGAGCCTGGGGCATCTGAGGTCCAGTGTGTTCCAAAGAGTCCCAAAGTATCTTTAGATCTGAGTGAGAGAGATCCTTGCACAACTGCCAGATCCCACCATCACCTCTACTGAATTTTGTGATGCTCAGGATTTATCTCTGTTCCCCATCACCCCAGCAGATGCACCTTCTAAGTCATGCTTTCCTCAGACCAACGCTCCAGTGAATGGGTAATCTTTAAGACCATTTAGATTGTCAGCAAGGATAGGGAGCCAATACTTGTGGCAAGATTTCAAACTGGTCAAGAGGTAGCAGAAGGCCATTCCAGAAGCCTGGGCTCCAGTTATAACTGTCATTCCAGAAAAGGCCAAAGGTAGATTTTCTTTAATGTAATAACCAATGTTCTCTTGGTCCTTGTTACCGTTTCAGTGAGTTGAGTATGGATGTGAATGTGTAAGTGTCTGAGTTGTGTTTAAACATAGGGCCATCTCTGTTATACACACCACTCAGCTTGCAAAACATCCTGTGCTCAGTAGCTTCTCATGGGCCCCAGGCCATGCTGCTGCTGCTGCCAGGATGCAACATGAGCAAAAGGCAAGTGAGAGGCTGGCCCACGTTCAGGCTGTGCTCACAGAGGCATCTGAACAGGATCACGGTGGGTCCAGAGAGAGTCCTAAACTTCAAGTTAATAGCTTTGAATTCAGATTCAGATTCTGCAAGTAACTGGGGATCATGAGCACAGCTTGCGATCAGTTGGAGCCTCATTTCTTTAGCTATAAAATTGGCGGAATAGTACCCCCAGATCATTGTAAGGCTAAAGTAAGACAATATGAGGATGTCTTGTGCAATGCCTGGTACAAAGTTCATGATTAATAAAGGTTAGTGGAAACAGAATCTTGTCCTCAATCTTTTTGGTTCAAAGACTTGACTTCAGAAAAAGGAACCTTGGAACACTGTTGGTGGGATTGTAAATTGGTGCAATTAAGAATTAAAAACAGAGTTGCCATATGATCCAGCAATTCCACTTCTGGGTATTTATCCAAAGAAAACAAAAACACTAATTCGAAAAGATATATGCACACTTATGCTCATTGCAGCTGTACTAGTAATAGCCAAGACATGAAAACAACCTAGATGTCCATCAATGGTGAAATTGTGGTCAACTCAATGAATGTTACTGTCATCTATCATGTACATGGCATGAGTTAGTGCCGGGGATACAGTGATATATAAACTTGGTCCATGCCCTTAATGGAGACATAACTATAAGAAATGTAACTGCCACAGTGAGATATTGGCAACAAAAGAAGATACTGAAGCAGAGGAGAGTAGGGTTCTTCAGGGAGGTCCTGGAGAGAGGAGGTCCATGTGCAGCATTTTCAGAGGATAAAGTTTATTGCCTAGACCAGTGGTCAGCAAACTGCGGCTTGGCAAACTGTGGCTCACGAGCCACATGCAGCTCTTTGGCCCCTTCAGTGTGGCTCTTCCACAAAATACCAGCTCTTCCACAAAATACCAACTTCTGCGCATGGGCCACAAAGTTTCAATCGCACTGTACGTGCACGCCCGCACATGGTATTTTGTGGAAGAGCCACACTCAAGGGGCCAAAGAGCCACATGTGGCTCGCGAGCCACAGTTTGCTGACCACGGGCCTAGACTAAAGGAGGGAGTGGGCATTGTAGCCAGAAGCACTAGCATAGTGACAATAGGTCAGATTGCCGGGGTGTGAGGTGGAAGGTGAGGAGGGTTGGCAGGTGGAGAGGGAGGGTAGCACCTGGAGCTGGCTCCCCAGGAAGCAGCCACATAAGAGAGGCCCTTTCAAGTCTGCTGAGGAGCTGGGATTTTGTGTTGTAGAGCTTGTGGGAGAAGCTAACATCTTGGGTGTCAGATGGACCCAGGTTTCAGTCCTTCTCTGCCACTTATGAACTGTGATTTAAGCAAGATATTTCTGCTTCACAAGCCTCCGTTTTCCCATCTATAAAAAGGGGTTAATAATAGTAGTTCCTCATAAAGTTGTCATGAGAATTAAATTTAATGAAAGGATATATGAGAATTATTTAATTCAGTGAATGGCACATAGTATACTATTAAACCACTAGAGGCCCGATGCACGAAGATTTGTGTGAGAATAGGCCTTCCTTCCCCTGGCTGCCAGCACCACCTTTGCTCCTGCCCTGATCCACCTTTCCACCTTTGCTCCGGCCCAGAGCCGCCTTCTGCCTTCGTGCACTGCCCAGAGTCCCGGAGTGACTGGGCAGGGTGAAATGCCTGCGTTGTTGCCATGGTGACGATGCAAGCATCCCAGCCCAGCTGCCACCATCTTTGTCGTGTCAATTTGCATATTCCCTCCTTATTGGCTGTGGGCGCTACCATCTTTGTCATGAAGTGATGGTCAATTTGCATATTCCATCTTTATTAGATAGGATTGTTATTATCATCACTCTTCGTATTACTAGGATAGAGTATTCTTTCAACAGCTAAGTGAGAAGGGAAGTAGAGAAGATCTAATAGTGATCAGAAGATTATGTGATGGACATGAATTAAGGATAAAGAGCATTGGCTACTAAGAGATATTTCTACCCTCCAACTTCTATGCTTCGATTCAGATGATTAACATTGACTGCCTCAACGACAAACCCTGAAATCTCATGGCTTAACTTGATATTTCTCACTCATAGTCCAAGGCAGGTTGGGGCAGCTCTCCTACATGGTTCTCCCAGTGGGTGTCTCAGGAACCTGGCTCTTCTCTCTTGTAGCCCCACCACATGGCCTGCAAAGCTACAGCAACAGGGGAAAGAACAGAGGAGGCACATGGGCTAACTGCCTCACCCTAGAAGTTTCCTATATTTAAACATACAACATCTAAAAATATGAAGATCTAAGTATAATAAATATACTGTGGCTCTAGCTGGATTGGCTCAGTGGATAGAGCATCAGCCTGCAGACTGAAAGCTCCCAGATTCTATTCTGGTCAAGGACACATGCCTGGGTTGCGGGCTCGATCCCCAGTAGCGGGTGTGCAGGAGGCAGTTGATCAATGATTCTCTCTCATCATTGATGTTTTTATCTCTCTCTCCCTCTCCCTTCCTCTCTGAAATCAATAAAGAAATATATTTAAAAAAATATACTGTGTAGTCTGATCAATACCACTCACATTTAACTGGACCAAATCCCCCACTGAACCTCAAAGGAGGCTGGGAAACAAGGAGGAGAACAAGGACACTTGGTGAGCACCAACAGTTTTGGGCACAACCTTTTCCTGGGTAGATACCAACATCGGTTACCAGCCTGAGAATTCTTTCTCTTTGAGCAGAGCTGGGACAATGCTGGCACATGTTCTCAAGTCCAGGCAAACACCCTCCCTTTGGTTTTGATAGGGCATCCCTGGGCATATTGCCATAAACCAGATCAGATTGCACAGTATATTTATTACACTTAGATCTTCATGTTTTTAGATGTTGTAAGTATGTTTAAATATAAGAAACTTAAGTTGATTTAATGGTGAAATGGAGATAACTTGCTCAGTGTTTCTTAAAGTATATATTCCTCTCTTTCTGATACTAAAACAGCCTTCCTTTCTTTTCTTCTCTAGTTTTTTTAAAAACACAACTGATTTATAAATATACAGTATTATATACTCATATTAGAAAGTGCAAAACTATTAAAGGTAGAAAAAAATAACCCTTATTTACACTCCCGCTTCCAGTCCCTGTGTATGGAAAACACTGACTTTGGCAGCACCCTTTGCGTAGCAGAAAGCACTAAGCATGTTAATGAATCTAAAAAGTCTTGTAATAAGTCACTGGTTTAATGTTTTTCAACCCATCATGGAATCCACCCGTACACATTTCCCAAGAGCTAGTGTTCCAGGGCAAAAAGACCCAATATAACAAGCAATGCATTTGCAAACCCTCACTGACAGGGGTTTTCTCCATCTTACGTGGCTGAGCTGTGGTGTCAGAAGGTTGCTTTCACCCAGAACGAGTGCAGAGGCGGTCACCAGGCCGAGGTCACACAGCAAGCTGCTGTCAGAGGCAGGTGCAGTGCGGAGCCCTCCTCTCAGACTCCAGCCACCTTTTGATCTGCCCACACATCTGATGCCTCTGGAACCTGGATGTGTCACTTCTGTCTCCTCATAATCTGTGAGGAAGGTGAGCCCGGGTTGAGGGTAGTGAGGAATTCCTGATTCATGCAGCCAGTCAACCTTTCATGGGAAGATAAGAAAAGGTCATCTTACCTGTTCCCTAATCCTGGGCAGAAGTGGGGAGGTCCTAGACGGATGGCTGTCTCAGCTCCTTAGAAAGTTTCCAGAAAAAAGGAGACTTCAGAGGCTCCCTTTGACAGCCAATCCTATGTAAGCTTCCCCTGTTCCAATTTTAATCCACTTCT